CTGACCGAAGACCACGAGTGTGACTATTTTTTTTTTACGACCACTTAGCATGCTCGGATCATGACCTCAATTTTTTTTTTTTGTATTCACATACCAAATGCCAAAAAAGTCACCAAGTATCATAACCTTCTGATGAAGCTGTGATTTTTAATAATTCAAAACAGAAAATTATTCGGTCAGAAGTGACCGAGGACCATCAGAGGGTTAATTATGTTAATGCAGTGGAGCAGCACCTGGATGCAGTTAACATACCGTGTCCATACAATCAACCTGGCTGTACGCAAGGGGTTAGATGTCACAAGCATAGAGACAATTTTTGCTAGGCTAAGAAAAACTGCCTCTCATTTTCACAGATCCAATACAGACAGCAGCCTTTTGGAGGATAAGCAGCGTATGCTAGGCCTAAAGCCAGATAAGCTAATCAATGATTGTGTGACACGATGGAACTCAATCTATGATATGATTTGTAGGGCATCTGAGCAACAAGCAGCAGCGGCAGCCATGATATTTGACAAAAAATGTCTAATCTGACCACAGAACTGACCACAACTGAGTGGCGCCGGGTTGAACAAATGCGAGAGACACTAAAACCTTTCAAAGTCGCCACCCAAGCGTTGTCCACATGCAAATATCCCACATCCTCAGCTCTACTGCCTTTGCAACATGTACTTTTGTCTCAAGTTGAAAAAATCAGGTCAGAGTCAAATGAGAGGTCTTGCTTGGGTGAAATGGCCACTAAAATCGAGGAACATTTGAGCAAACGCTATGAAACCCTGGAGGGAAACTTCCCGAAGAAATCTGCCAGGTAAAAGTTGTCACCGCGACAGGACCACAGCGTGTCCTTTAGAGCTATGTCGGCACAGGCAAGAAACTACAACTCACACAGCCTAGCCAGACAGTTGCCCTTGGATAGCCAGTGTACTTGGACTGCCTGAAGATCCGGTCGTTCAGATCATGGGTCTTCATTTTGTTTATGGCCCTGGCAGCGATGTTCAGAAAATGTTGGAGAGAAAGACTTAAAGGGTTAGTTCACCCAAAAATGAAAATTAAGTCATTAATTACTCACCCCCATGCTGTACCAACCCCGTAAGACCTTCGTTCGTCTTCGGAACACAAATGAAGATATTTTTGATTAAATTTGAGAGCTGTATAACTACCACATTGGCTCCTAAGGGACTGCCTCTTGACGGCCCAGAAAGTCAATGAAGAAAATGTTTAAATATCCCAAGTGACTACCGTGGCTCAACTATATGTTTATCAAGCGACGCGAATACTTTTTGTGCGAAAAAACAAACAAAAATAACGAGTTTATTCGACTATTTCTTTTCTTCCTTGTAGGCCAGAATGAGACTTCCTTAGATTTCGACGACGCATGCGCGAGAATTGCGATCTGAAGTAGTGTAAGCAGATCGCAAATCTCGCGCATGCGTCGTGGAAATCTAAGGAAGTCTCTCCAATATGCAGCATCCACCATTTGCAATGCAATACAAATGTTATCAAATATATTCTCATACATGGGCTTATTATTGAGCATACTGAACAAAGCGACCAAAGAATTGTTTTAGCCTTATCTTGTTTGCATAGAATACAGAATGAGCATTATTCAATATGATGATTGCACATGCTGTGTTAAAGTTAGCACATGCTTGTGGTTTAAGCTTATTTATACCGTGGTCTAGGTGAATACTCGATTTTGATTGGCTGCAGGGTGTCCGTTAAAAAGTGATAGAGGACACCTAGTAAAGTAGTTCTGGTGAAACTGCCTGTTTACCATTCGAAATTTATAAATAAATGCGCTGCCTACAACAGCTGTGAGTAACCATAGCAACAGGCAGTCAAACGCTCTATCAAAACAAACATCTAACGTTAGATACTATAGCCTTATACAACAATGAGCGACTTCGTTATTTCTTTTAACATTTATGGAGAATATGGCAACTTTGATGACTGGTATGCTATAGGTCGACTCTCCGATGCTGGACTGGAGAGCCGTCAAATAATGTCGGTAACAGGCCATCGATGCGAGAGCAGTCTGCGGGCTTACTGGGCTCCGTCTCTCCGTGAGAGACGAAGCTGGAGCAACGTACTGTCTGCATCAAGTGCCCATCATGGGCAGCAGTAACGACGTTACCCAGCTTTTGAGGATCCTCCTGACTGGCCGACTTTTTCAAATTGCACTATAAATGGAAACGTTGAAATTAATTGTAAATAAAAAAGCTAGCATGTAGGCAAATGACCCTCTTTGCTCTGATTAATTTATTGCCCTCTATAAGCGCATATCGCTGGTGCTCAGAACTAATTGTTTTTTTGTTTTTTTTTTATTATTAATTGCTTTATGTGTAATAAAAAAATAACTATGCCTACCTTTGTGTTTCATGAAAAAAAAAAAATGCATTTTTGAAACTGAAGGGTTCTACAAGCTAAATCTCTGGTTGCTAAATAAACCGTCAGGCAAGTTATTATTTGTAAAAACTAGATTTAGCCTAATTAAAATATAAACTAATGTTTTAAAAATGTTTTATTTGGCAAGTGACCATGGTATAAGCGGGTTAATGCCCGACGAGGTGTCCATTGTCAGGTTTTAATGGACGACGGCGAGGCGTGAACCGGCCGACGCGCAGCGGAGGACGGTTGCCTCCGCCAAAGTTGCCTCCTTACCTAGATTATTGGTAATATACTGTGCACATATAAGGTATGTTTAGCCTACTGCAAAGGTCTGTCATTCAACACTAACAACATCATAGCTTGCTTGATGATCCCATGAAAGAGTGTGAAATCATGGGAGTCATCATCTTCACCTCCACAACAATGGAATTCAGTGTGACTGGAGTACAAATCATGTTCATGAATGAGGAAACACACTGTACTCCATTGCTTGGCTGCGAACGGCAAATGACTTTAGAGACATTAGACTCAGGCCCGTCGCGATAGGACAGCCAAACCAAGCAATAGCTTGTTTTCACGTGACGTCACGCCACTGCGTTGCCATGGCAGATGGAGGGCAGGAAGTGATTTTCTACATTAGGAAGCACTATAACACACTCAAAATGCCTATGTTTTGCGTCGTTTATGGTTGCTCAAATCGATCAAACCACGAGTTATTATCGTGTGCCCAAAGTTGTTGTTCATAAGGGGGGAAAATACAAGAAATTGACAGAAAAACACCAGAAAAAATGCCTTGCAAACCTACGTCTGCGGTCCGGAGGAGCCGAGTGGGAAAATGCCTGTGTGTGTGAGTTAATACATTATTTATGTGGCTTATAATTACATTATTCAGGTGTTTAAATACACTTATGTGGCTGTTCGTGTAACGTACCAGTTTCCAAACTTAGTAAAGTCAAAGTATGTCTGTAAGACGAGTTAGTTGCTGATATCTACAGGCAAATCTCTCAATTCAGTTGAGAATCGGTCCTCTTCATAACGTAAGGATCACGTCCAACATATATTTCTCTTGTAATAGCGTCTAAAGTAGTACAGTACGGATTTTCCTCCATCTCGTCCATTGCGCTCTTCACTCCTTGCCCTCCATCTGCATTCCGCGCGTCAACACAACCACATGACTGCAAACCACCTATTGCTTGGGGCCCCGAGCTGGACTGGGGCCCCAAGACAACGACTGTTTAAGAATAAAATGCAACGACAAACTGTGAGCGCCCCTTTGATAGTCAATGCAGTAAAGTGCAATGACACTGTTATCGGAATCTCCCTCAAGGGGGCCCCCCTCAGTGGTCCCTGACAGCAGCAAGCCAACCACCCGATCTCTGCTGCCGGCAAAATACAAACCTCCTCGGCAGTCATCATGAAGCGGAATTATGCTTGAGCAAGCCAGAAAAGAAAGAAGAGAAAGGAAGAGGGGGATAAGAAAAAGACAAGATAGTGGTAAATCGATAAATGACACTGCATAAAAATAACTCTCTACTTGTCTTGTACATATGGTGTAATTTTTGCAGCAGGTAACGTTATAGCAAAAATCCACCGCAATTTTGCTCGGGGCCCCCAAATTCCTTCAAATGGCCCTGATCGTACGCTAGTTTCAATACTAGTCATTTATTAAAATGTATTAAATGTTTAACTAAAATCACTATTTCATTTTGTTAGTCCTTAACATTTCAGGTTGGAATTAGCAATAAATGCGTTTTTTGCCATTTTTAAATCATCTTCCCTCTCTTTCACCCCCAAAAGTTAGAAGAATGTAACCACTTTGAAGGGAGACAATGTCTTCAATTTTATATTTTTAATTCTGACCCTTTTCTCATATTGTGCCCATATTGTTACACAACAATGTCTTTCTGCTGTTGATGTGGCTGCAGTTTCTGACGATGCCTGTCAGTGTTTAAGTGGACACATTACATTAAAAATATGTATTTATAACAAAATTATGAGTTTTGGTAAGTATATCTTTACTTAAACCATGACTATTTCATATATTTTAAATTAATATTATTCATAAATGAAGTGGGGGGTGGAGGAGGCGATGGGGTTTAGTGAGCAATCAGTTTGGTGAAATTAAAGGTAGGCCTAGTGTGTAACGAGATTGATAATAGGCGAAAAATAAGTAAACATCAGTTCACAAATAAAATATATTTTTTAATTTTGTTACTGCCTTTATGTTTTGGAATAAATGTAAAAATGCTTAAAAACACTAACTTGATGTGAGCTTAATTAAATTGAACATTAATTACATAATGTAAAAATACAAAATATTTATTTATTTATTTTTTTATATATATTTTATGCATAGTAATGTTTAGCTTAGCAGGAAAATGTGACATCATTAAGTAACTGGAGATACACACACACACACACGGGCGGTGGGTGAAGATTGAACCAACTCTAGGGTAAGGCAAGATGCTTTTCCTCCTTTAAAAAAACCTACAACCTACACATCCCAGCATAAACCCATACAATCACATCGAACCACTATCATTTGAGCAGCCATGCATACTTTGGCATGGCAGCCAGTTCTAATAATAAATAGCATATAGCCTTACCCTCACCAAATGCAGCAAAACATACGATTTTTAACATTTCTGGATGGATTATTTCTGAACAGCGCTAGAGCAGTTGAAGAGTCAAGAGCACAATTATGAATTATGATCAGCCTGGTTGAAGCCAACCAGCACAGATCACGAACCGCTCTCGCGCGTCTTGCGTCATTGAAGTCTCTGATGTAGAGGAGGTGCGAATCGGTTCCCATCCGTCTCACTCATTCAACAAGCTGTACATTTCTCAGAGGCTCGGACAGTTTAACAGCAAACAAATCTACCCTATCACGGATCAGAAGAAATGGAGTTACAGAAATTGAACCGGACTGCAGCGACCACACGGTAACGCGAGCGTCGATGAGGAGAGGACTGAAGAAGTAAGTTACATAAACCCAGGACCAGCCAGCATTATACATCAGATGTGTTATTATGCGTGCGTATGTGTGTGTGTATAAGAGAGAGGGGAAGAGAGAGGGTAGGCTACTCGTGAGATTTGAATTTGGTAGGCTAGTCCTTTATTTGAACTAAACATAAATGAAACGAGTGATTAAAGATGAACCAATAAGCCAATAATTTCCTTGTATCAAAAAGCAAATCAGTACATGGGGGAAAATACTACTGGACAGCCTTTTGAAATGGTTCATAAATTATCAATGTATTGCGTATCACGAAGAGATGTGATCCATGCGTATGCTCATACCATATTTCAAATCATATCACCTGATTATTAGTTCGTGATATTTTTGGAGAACTGTTCTACAGTAGTATTGATATGAGTAGGAAATATAAATGCGATGTTTTGAGTTGGGGGGTGGTGATATTTTCTGTGGTGTATTTCTACTCTATACAACCGTGCAACCTAGGCAATACTGTCATTAACAAGACAACTTTTTTATGGTACAGTTAATTTAAAATAATTTCCTCAGAATGATAGCTGGATTGTTCAGGGTTTATTGCAATTTAACACACAGTCGACAGAATTTGAGGCACAATGCTGATTAAAATATTTAGCCTTTTCCCTCATTTAAAAAAAGAAAAAAAGAAAAAAAGATTGGCACTTACAATACAAATTCATTTACAAGCAGAAATGTAAAGCTTATGTTGGTAAAAGCATTTACATAAATTCTTGTTACAACATATTTGAGGTGTACATGTTTAATCTACAGTCATAAATGTACAGTCATGGGATTAAAGCAGTTTCTCAAACTTAAAAGGGTTCGTGCCCCACCTGTCCCCATGCAATCAAAATGTTAATAAACTAGGCTTTAAAATAAAATGTATTTTATTAACATGACATTTTAAAAACTTAAACATGACCGTAGATAAAAATAATAATGCAATTGTGTTTGTATTGTGTCTCTGATACAATACATCCAATTCAGAAATGGAGAAAATAAAAGTGTGGACTAGTAGTGCTTTGCTTTACTATTTTGTCACTTCGAAAACTGCATGCAAAAAGAACAAACAAAATTGAAAAAAGAATAATAGTAATCTCAAGGTTTTACCTGGCTCAAAACAAGGCGGACGTGGTAAAATCCTAATAATGTACATTTTTTAGGTATTTTTATAATAATAATAATAATAATTGTATTTTGTATTTTTCGAAGACTAATCATATAAGCTACTGTGTTTCCCACAGTATTTTGTGTGTGGTGTGGACCTCTGCACCCCTAGGGGGGTCCGGGGGCATGGTCCCCCAGAAGAAAAGTTTGTACGTTTTAAAGATAAATTCATAAATCTGGTGAACTTTGAAAGTTCAAAATTAAGTGATTAACTAATTTAGTGTCTTGCAATTTTGTAGTAGGCTAGGCTACACATATTTTCTGAGCCAGAGATGGAGAGTGCTCACCGCTTGACATCACAACTATTCAGTGTTTTCAACCACATAATATTTATTTTAGGTTTCAGACATTTAAATTCACACAAGTAAATTACTATAAAAGCAATACATTTAGAGTTTGTCAATTACACACTCATGTCTATGGGAGCGTAAATAATTATTTCCATTATAATTAGACGACACGTATTATTCATATCAAATGCACATCATGTAAGTAACTTTCAAGTTTCCTCTATGCTTCTCCCAGTTCACCGGCCACTTACTTTTATGTATTTCGGGAGAAGTGGATTCAATCCGATCCACATCTCTAAAATTAAACTAACGCCTATTAAACTCTCTTTAAAAAAATTAAAATTAAACTCTCTTTAAAATAAAACTAACGCCCATCGCATATAGCTCAACTAAGGTGTTTAAACAACAAAACACATCCACTTGATCGTATTTGACAATCGGAATATCAGATATTTCCAGCTATAGCCAACAAATTTATGAAATAAAAGCAGATAATCAGTCATTCAGCGCTATTGTAGCTGCGGTGTGACAAGTAATGACGCGTCACCATGGAAACCATAAAGGGATACAATCTAAATAACGGGCTCCTCTAAAAAATTTTAAACTCACGTGTGAAAAGGTTAAATAAGACTTCCATTTAAATGTGGTGTTGTTTTGTTTTGAGTTTATGCTCAATAAATAAAGGAATTAATATAGATGGGCACAAAATTTACCACATTTTCTCCCGTTGGCATCCCACTTGTCATGTTTCTATTCCCCACCAGTGAGGCACGCCCCACACTTTGAGAAACGCTGGATTAAAGCATATCATTGTAATTTCAACAAAGTTGTAAAAACTTCACACAGAAAATGTTAGGTAGGTTGACACTAAGGGCCCTATTTTAACGATCTGAAACGCAATATCAAGCACGAAGTGCAAGTAACTTTGTGGGCGGGTCTTGGGTGCTGTTGCTTTTTTACCGGCGGGATAAATGACTCTTGCGCTCAACGCAAATCTAAAAGGGGTTGGTCTGAAGTAGCTTCATTATTCATAGGTGTGGTTTGGGCGTAACGGGAAACAAAGAGCGTCGTATCACATTCCCTTTAAGAGCATGATGAACGAGGTGCGCTTGTTCCATGGCGCAATACTATTATAATGGCGCATTTACCAGACGTGCATCGCTTCACAGCCGAGGAGATCAATGTTCTCATCAGGGCTGTAAAAGAAAGAGAAATGACATTGGGGATGGGGCAAACACACCCAAATTAGCTTCAGTTAAACATGCATATAATAATTTGAGTAAATGTGTAAGCTTTATGCCTATTTTTCCCATCGTCATGGACACAGCAATGATTTCCCTCGTGTTTGAATATTTTTTCCAAATAATGTATCATTTGCAAAAAGTAAAATGCATCTGTGTACTAAGTCATTTGCGCCGGGTGCAAGATAGAGCCCTAAGTCATGTTATTTGCATAAGTCTTGTGGCTATGCTATTAAAGGGCACCTGTTATGCCCCTTTTTACAAGATGTAATATTGGTCTCTGGTGTCTCCAGAATGTATTTGTGAAGTTTCAGCTCAAAATACCCCACAGTTAATTTATTATAACCATTTGAAAATGTCATTTTTGGGGTCTGTTTAAAAATGAGCTATTTTGGTGTATACGACCTTAAATGCAAATGAGCTGCATATCCCCGCCCTGCCTTTGGATGAGGCACTAGCATACCTATGGTAGTCGGTTTAAGCAGAAGGGCCGAGAGAGTGAGAGACCCGCTTTTTGAATGTCATTCAGCCGTACATGTTTGAATCGGAATATATAAATAGTCTCTGTTCAGACCCAGATGACGAAGAGACTTTGGAAGAATAAACACAAATGAGAATGGACCAGTACGTCTCGGTATGGTTATTTGATACATTTATGCACTTATAGAGTTGTAATCGGGTCCTTTTTGAAATTATGGATGTGAAACACACACAGACACACACAAACACTAACGTTGGCGCAATTTTTTGAAACTACATACACATACAGTGGTATGAAAAAGTTTGGGCACCCCTGTATTTTCATGATTTTCTTTTATAAATCATTGGTTGTCTGGATAAGAAATTCCAATTAATATACAGTATCATATAGAAGACAAACACAGTGATATTTGAGAAGTGAAATAAAGTTTATATGATTTATGGAAAGTGTGCAAGAATTATTTAAACTAAATTAGGCTTGTGCGTAAATTTAGGCACCACAAAATAAAAATTAATTTAATATTTTGTGCATCCTCCTTTAGCATAAATAACAGCCTCTAAACGCTTTCTATAGCTTCCAATTAGAGTCCGGATTCTGCTGGAAGGACCATTTTTTGGACCATTCTTCTTTACAAAACATCTCCAGTTCAGTCAGGTTTGATGGTTTACGAGCATGGACAGCCCGCTTTAAATCATACCACACATTTTCAATAATATTTAGGTCTGGGGACTGAGATGGCCATTCCAGAACGTTGTACTTGTTCCTCTGCATGAATGCCTTAGTAGATTTTGAGGAGTGTTTTGGGTCGTTGTCTTGTTGAAAGATCCAGCCCCGGCGCAACTTAAACTTTGCCACTGATTCCTGGACATTGTTCTCCAGAATCTGCTGATATTGAATGGAATCCATGCGACCCTCAACTTTAACCAGATTCCCAGTCCCAGCACTGGCCACACAGCCCCACAGCATGATGGAACTGCCACCAAATTTTACTGTAGGTAGCAAGTGTTTTTCTTGGAATGCTGTGTTCTTTTTTTCCGCCATGCATAACGCCCCTTGTTTTGCCCAAATAACTCTATTTTAGTTTAATCAGTACAGCACCTTATTCCAAAATGAAGCTGGCTTGTCCAAATGTTCTTGAGCCTACCTCAAGCGACACCATTTGTGCTGTGTGCTGAGAAAAGGCTTTTCCCGCATTATTCGTCCATACAGCATCTCCTTGTGTAAAGTGTGCTGAATAGTTGAATGATGCACAGTGACACCATCTGCAGCAAGTTGATGTTGTAGGTCTTTGGAGCTGGTCTGTGGGTTGACTGTGACTTCTCACCATCCTGCGTCTCTGCTTATCTGAGATCTTTTTTGGTCTGCCACTTATGGCCTTAACTAGAACTGTGCCTCTGGTCTTCCAATTCCTCACAATGTTCCTCACAGTTGAAACTGAGTGCTTAAATCTCTGAGACAGCTTTCTGTATCCTTCCCCTAAACCATGATGTTGAACAATCTTTGTTTTCAGGTCATTTGAGAGTTGTTTTGAGGCTCCCATGTTGCCACTCTTCAGAGAAGATGCAAACAGAAGAAATACTTACAATTGGCCTCATTAAATACCCTTTCTCATGATTGGTTTCACCTGTGTATGGAGGTCAAGGGTCACTGAGGTTACCAAACCAATTTTTAGTTCTAATAATTAGTGCTAAAGTTATTGAAATCAATATAATGACAAGGGTGCCTAAATTTATGCACATGCCTAATTTAGTTTAAATAATTCTTGCACACTTTCTATAAATCATATAAACTTTATTTCACTTC